GGATCCTGTTCGTCACCCGATCTGGTGTTCACAAACGGAGGCAAAATTTTGCGAACGGAGCTGTTCGTGAACCGAATTGTTCATGAACAGAAGCGTTCGTGAACCGAGGTACCACTGTATTGCTATTTAGTCCTGCTGTTTTTCTATAGTCATCTTTTCCATGGTCGCTTAAATCAAAAGGCAGCATAGACTAGTAGTAGAAACATTAAAAAGACAATGTATATCAGCATACACATAGTGTAAACTTGTAATATGTCTACCCTTTTATCACTTTGTAATGCTTTTGAATACAGTGTTAACATTTAGGGGGGATGGAGACAATTGATCACGGCAGGTAAGAGTAGCTAATTCCGATGGGGAGCAGCCAGATACCCAAAGCGTTTCTATTCAGATGGCTTCAAGTGTTACATTATGTAATGACGGTGGGGCCGGTGCGGCCAGTTCTGTCATGAAGCTGGGACAGGTTCAGTGCAATAGAGATGAGGGGAGCCAACATGACCTACCAAAAAGAGAGAGAGAGAAAGAAAAATGAGGAATACCAGTCAAGATTTTGGAAACCATCTGCTGGCTATTCTCCAAAGATATTCAGAACTTGCTTATTTGCCATCTGCAGAAGGATAAAACTAGGGATCTAGAAACCTGCATGGACACAGTGTCAGATCTAGCCCAAGAACAACAACGAGGCGATCCAGTCCAGTATAGTTCCCTTATTAACTTGCACCTAATAGACAGAATCTCGCCAGACTAAATCTATGCCAAAGCAACTAGTGGACATACCCTGTGAGACTCTGGGGAGGGGCCAGTCTCAGCTTCTTCCTATTCTCACGATCCTGCTGTGGGCTGAGAAAGTGCTTCCCCTGGAATGCTCCCCCTCCCTCCTGATAACCTTGAACCTCCATTCTAGTATCCTCCTCGCACATGCCTTCCATTACATACAGTCACACTGCATACTTCAAAATCTACACTGGGGTGTCGGTAGGGTGTGGTCAAAGATGGCAGCCACGACAAGTGTAATCAAAGCTTAATTTTTTAAATGTGCATCAGACAGCATCATGGCTGGCATCTTGACTTTTCTGAACACCCCCTGCATAGCTTTAATTCAGTAAACAAGTTTCAAATTCTCACACTATGAAACAGCAACCTTGGAAGCATTTGGCATAAGTATCTCCTTGAAGTCTTGGAATTAGAGATAGAAAAGCAGCCTTTAATATTTAGTATACCTCACAAAGCAAAATGAGTTGTAATTTCTTTATGTTTATAAATTAGAATTACAGCATCAGCACGGCCCATAAATCTATGCCCCAATAATTTAAATAACGTAGGCTCCTGACTCTCTGAAACCAATGACATTTTCAGTAGTGGTACATGCATGAAAAAGATTACCTAGGAAAAAAAGGAACAGAAAGGAGAGACACAGCTTGGCAATTCAACCTACCTGCGGATCCTCATATATTTTTGGTGCATCTTTTTCATAGCTATCAATATATAGTCGCACAGTGGCTCCAGCACTTCCTGTGCCACTAAGTCTGAAAATGATGCGAGAACCGTCAGCAAAGATGAGCCTCAAACCCTGAGGAGAGGAGAGGAGAGAAAAAAGAAAAAAGAAAAATGAATTTCAGGACTCCTGGAATCTATTCTATAAAATACTATCTGACCCTCACTGACTGCTGGCTACTATGTGGCAATCTTAATAATATACCTGACAAGAAAAGATAAGCTCCTAATTTTTATTTTGCTATGCAGAGCTGCAGATGCTTCAAAAAACGTAGGAATTAAACATTAATTTATGTATTTCATATACCATTCTTTCCCAAACAAATACATTTCTTAAGTATCTTTACATGTTTTGGTCAAACTAGTTCAGCCCATGTAGGATCCTAACAATGACAAATATAATTCATCTTGCCAAATCCTTTCAGAATAAGCCACCAAGCCTGGCCAGGCTTTAATTAAAATAAGCAATAGAACCAAAATCACAGCAAAGAGAATGTTCTTGTTATTGCCAGGATTTTGGTAACATCTCCCTTGGGTTGAGCTCAACTCCTGCTGCCAGCATGGATGTGTCTATGCCATTTTCTTGGCAACAATATGGATCTATCTGTATTTGCCTTCTTCCAGGGTGTTCTTCCAACCCCCAGCCTAGTCTATAGGCTGGAATCTCCTGGTCTCCCATTCCCATAATGATAGTCTAACTTTGCTAGCTTTTTCCAGATCAGCCAAGGCCAGCTAGATATTGATAAATAATATGAAAAGATTATGTTATGATTTGTTTTGCTGAACTATTCCTAACAATAGTGACAAGTACACTGAGCCATTTAATGTATTAGTAAACATTTATTAATTTCTAAAGACCAAAACATAATTATCAGTGCTTCTGGTATCCTGCAAATAATCATCACCACCACCACCACCATCCATCTCAATTCCTTAAACAGAAAATCCAGGTAAAAGCTCTTTTCACTTTTATGGTAACTGCAAGTAAAAATAATTTAAAAAGTGAACCTTGTGTTTTATTAAACTGTGCATAACGTTAAGGGTAATATCATTAAATATACTGGTAAAAGAAGAATGTCTGTTCCCAGATATTAAAGCCTCCAGTTTAAATGTTTTCCCCAACCTGATTCCTGGAGATGCTTCCATCCACAGGATCACTGTATTCAAAATTATCTGCTTTTTCCACAATGTATGATTTGTCACCAGCTGATAGCTGCTTCCCCACAAAGGACCGGTCAAAGAACAGCGTCTCTAGATCTTTCATCATCTGGTTAGCACTGTCAGCATCCACCTCTTCATAATCATATCTAGGAACAGTCAGGAAACTTTGATAATAGAAACGCAGCCCGCAACCAACCCTCCATCTCCTAGGTTTGATTTTAGAACTTTGTATACAATCATTGTTCTTTATTATTCCCCTTTCCAGGCAGAAAAAGGAGGACCAAGGATGCCGCAGACCAATATCATAAATCAAGCATTCATTAGCATTATTTAAAATATATAGTAGAATTCTATCCCCTTTTTGTCCCTCTATGCACTAGCCTTATTTCTCTCTCAGCAAACTGATGTTTAGCTGTCCTTGTGTTGTAAGTTTGAATAGGGTCATTTGATGGATATTTATTTACACACACACATACACATAATATCTAGTCTATGCCCGTATGGAGAAGGAGCCACTGAAACCATCAAACATGTGTTATTATACTGTTTGTTTTACGCTGATACTTGCCATGAGCTGCTGTTGACCCCACATGGAACTAAATTCCCTGGTCATCCCGATCAGTTTTATTTACAGCTCTTACTTTCAGACTCAAAGGACTCTATTTCTTCAAGTGTGGCCAAATTTTGTCATGCAATATGTAAGATGTGCAGCAGTTTGATTGATATGCTTAATTAATAAGTGTTAGTTTTATGTATGCAATATGTTTTACAGCCTAGTCATTGACTGTAATAAAGAATCTCTCTCTATATATAATGCCAACTTTTAGCATGTAATTGTTGGTAAAGCCTTCTCTGAGCTGAGTTTGACTCCTGGTGAGTGTATGGATACTTCTATGTAATTTTCAGTAAGAAGGAACAAGAAGGACATGCCTTGCCATTGCCTTCTTTCAGGCAATTTCAGCTTTCCATTTTGGCCTATAGCCCTGGGATTCCTCAGTGGTCTCCCCTTCACGTACTATGCAAGCCTTACCCTACTTAGTTTCTCAGGCAAGACGAGATCAGCCAGGCACTGCCACCTGCTGAGATATGCACATATTGACAAATATAGGCGTGGTATGAGCAACATTAAGAAGAAGCTAAAGAAGTTTAAGAAAGGGAATCCATAGGTAGGGATAAAATCCACATTTAGAGACCTCTTCACCACCATCACTCCTAAGAGGGAGGCGCATCTTGGGACTAATCAATGGAGGCACTGGATATGCTGGGTTTAAAGACCTCTCACTCTGCACACTTGTCCCTGAACCAGCCCTGGAAGTAGAGCAGCCACGAAGCTGATATCAGTGGGAGGGGAATGCAGAACACATAGGCCAAAAATAGACCCATCATACTTCCCAAACTAGTCACATTGAGCTAGAAGAATACAGCCCCAGAAGTTATATGGTAAATTCTCTCTTCCACAAACCATATATCTTCCCCACCCAGGAAATTTCATTAAGACTGTCACTGTCAAAGACAGAGCACATAATTTTGTGATATCACAGGGTTGGATAATAAGTTAACTGAGTGGAAATCAATATAAAGAGTTAGGCACACCTAACTTAATCTCCATTGCTTCAGGGGTACATAATTGGTCTAGCCTGGATTCAAGCCAAATTATTTTCAAACTTTCACATACATTTATTCCTTCTACAAAGAGCAAGGAATCAGTCAAAGTACCTACTAGACCTATTGGCCAAAAATTTTAATCAGCTTTAGCAACAGTGGCATTATATTAAGTTTTTGTAGAAACAACTATAATCATCCCAGAAATGGGTAGATTCAAAAAATCATGTTATCCATCTTGCAATGTGAGATTTTTGCAGTTTTTTATTATTAGACACCCAGAAAATCTAAATCTAAATTAGAAATCTACAGGAGATAGAAGAAAAGCAGGTCCAGTATACAGTGGCAACCTGGAACCTGAGTTCAGGCAGCTTCTACACCCCTACAGTGTAGAATCTCATGTTTCAAAATAGCAAATTCTGCATTCAGTTTACATAATGGAGTTTAAAAAAGGGTTCTTGACTCCCAAGAATGTCTGTCCTTTAACTGTTTCATGGAAGATGAACTTAGATATATTCATTCTAATTAATCACATCTCAGATCTATGGCATTACTACCTTGTGAAGAAATTCCGCCCATATTGTTGCCAGTGATCTTTCAGGATCGATTCCACACTCTGTTTTCGGACAGCTATAATTGACAACCATGCCAAGACAGCCCAGAGGCCATCTTTTTCACGGATATGATCTGATCCTGCAGCACAGACAAATAAACACCATACAAATGGAACCAACCTTTCATCTATGTGAAGAATGATGGAACAGAGCAGAATTGGGCAACTTGTGGTCCATCAGCTATGTGGCCCACCAGGTATAATCCACCGTTAAAGCCCTGAATGGCACAGGGCCAAGTTATCTGTGGGACCGACTCTCCCTGAGACTATCTGCCCCAGGTCCCTTCCCTCAAATGTTGCCCTTGAGTCAGACCTAGGCAGCATTCCTTTTCCGTAGTTGCCCCTGCTCCTTCCCCCTAGAGCTGGCAGGCCCCTACCCTCATGGCCTTCTGAGAAGCTATAAAGATCTGTTGTTTTCCACAAGCCTTGGGGTGATGTGAGACTGAAGCCCAGAAAGTTTTCTTGTGTATGTGTGATGCCAGGAATTTTCTATATTGGTTTTTATGTTTTTACAGTTTTTATTGTTGTTTGCGAGCCATCCAGTGTTATGCTGCATAAGATGGGTGGCTATATACATCTTATAAATAAAAACATTTTAGGCCTCTCATTCCCCATCCCTGGAACAGAATGACTCCTCCCTGCAATCCAGGCACACAAATACAAGTGACAGATGTCGTTGTAGAAAAAATGCAGACAAACACAAAATCTAGCTAAGTAATGTTTCACTATCTGATATCAGATACATGATTAGAAGGTGGGATCTAGTATTTTGCAGATCACGTGCCTTATTTTCTATTACAGAGAATTCAGCTATTCACAGAAACAAATTGGTTCAGTTGTTGTTATCCCATAGAAACACATCAATCTAAACTCTGTAGCAGGGGTCAAACAGACTTGAGTCCATGATTCTCAACCCACCACTTTGTCTTACATCACAGGTAGTGGCTAAGTTCATCTGTCATGTTGACCTAGGGTTGAACAACTTACATTGGCTTGAGGGTTAGGGTTACAAAGGAATGCTGCCTAGGTCTGACTCAAGGGCTACACTCAAAGCAGTAAGAGTTCAGGACCCAACTGGGGAGGGGTACATGGACATTAAGGGATGAAAGCATTGGCAATGCTTAGCACATTTATAATGCTGTTAACATTTTGGAGTCCACCAATCTAGGTGCCACAAAAGGGAGTTGCATTTGACCTCCAAGCCATGCTTTTCAAACTTTACAGTAAACTCTGGCTTGTGTTAATAATAGTTCGTTGTACAAATCATGACTAGTTTCAGATACAATGCTAAAGCACATAATAAGTTTTATAAAAAGCACTGACTGGGTTTACCTATCATCTAAACCAAACAAACCACAATTTGACTTCTTGCAATGTGTAAACCTAGCCACTATTACATGAATGTGTTCTCTGTTGGTCTAAAAAGTCTAGAGGTCTTGTTTGGGGAAGAAATATGAGGTACTAATGTTGTAACAAAAATAATTAATAGTAGGAATGTTTACCTACCAGTACCAAAACTCTCCTCTCCACACAGAGAGAGTTTGTTTGCATCCATCAGATTTCCAAAGAACTTCCAACCTGTTGGAGTTTCATATAAAGCAATCTTTGTAGCTTTGGCCACCCTTCAAAAGACAGGAAGAATAGCAGTGTTATTGAAGAACGCCTTACTGTAGAAACATAGTAACTGCTGTTGGGCATCCTATTTAATAAACAAAGATCACAAATCTCATTTTAGAAGTCATCCCTTTTATAAGTGCTTATTTATTGTACACAGTCATCAGGTAGCCAGCGGTAAGCTGAATGTAATCACATTTCAACCTTTTAAAGCACACTCCTGAGGAAAACCACATCTCAAAGAATGCTGTAATCGTTTGTCTATATTTCATGAATAGAAGCTACATACGAAACTGGAGAAGAGTTTCTAAAGCAGTTTATTTGTCCAGTTCCGTTGTTAAAAAGAAAAGAAAAAGGTCATAACCTCACTGGCTGCCCATCCAGGTTATTGATCCACTGCAATATTTAGCAATAAATACTATTATTCATTTTCTTCTAAATGTGCCTAATTTTATTTTTTATATTTTCCCTTCTTGCTTAACAAATGACTCCTCCCCACCAATGGCTTAAATTAATAAATTATAATGAAATCAGTTCAGGTAAGTTAAACCATACATTGATTTCAGTGGCACTATAATATTAAAAGCACCCAATTGTCACAGCTAAGGGACATCACTCATAAGCTATCTTAAAATAGAAGTCTCCTTGAAGAGAAAGGTTCCCCATCCTCCTAAATCTGAGTAGGGAATTAGGCCAATCATCTTCAACCACAGCTTACTCCAAACCAATCTCTTCTAGACAGGCTGGATTCTGGCTCCCATTCCCCCAAGGTAGCACAATGGTTGGCTATTCTCTAGAAATGGGAGCTGTAATCCAACACATTTGAAAGGGAAAGCTAATCTCGATGGTGCACAGACAGTGTGGCTCTTAAATGGATAATCACATGTACCTTCTTCTGCTCAACCACAAGGAGCCTTCTGTGCACATCTGCGATTCTGATCTATTGTGGGTGCCACTGCCCCAATTTTCATTTTCTAAGGATGCCTTTTTTTAATAGTAATTTTATTAAAGATTATAATTACAACAGTAAAAACTAATACAAACTGACGAAAAGATAGAAGAATAAAAAGAAAGAGTAGAAGGTGCAGAAAAAGAAAAAAAGAGAAATAGAAAAGAAATACCTTTTTTTAATAGTAATTTTATTAAAGATTATAATTACAACAGTAAAAACTAATACAAACTGAAGAAAAGATAGAAGAATAAAAAGAAAGAGTAGAAGGTGCAGAAAAAGAAAAAAAGAGAAATAGAAAAGAAATAAAAGTAAGAATATAGTAAAGAAAAAGAAAAGAAATATATAAAGTGACTTCCCACCTTCAT